AAAGAAAGACAGAAAGAAAGGCATTAAATCTAAAGGCCCCTTGCCAGGTGCGTTGGCTTACGCCTGTAATCCCAACACTTTGGGAGGCTGAGGCAGGTGGATCACCTGAGGTCATGAGTTTGAGACTAGCCTGGCCAACATGGCGAAACTCTATCTCTACTAAAAATACAAAAATTAGCCGGGTGTGGTGGTGCAAGCCTATAATCCCAGCTACCTGGGAGGCTGAGACACAAGAATCGCTTGAACCCAGGAGGCTGAGGTTGCATAGAGCCTGGGTGATAGAGCAAGACTCAGTCTCAAAAGAAAAAAAAAAAGAAGAAGAAGAAAAAGAAAAAGAGAAAAAGAAAGGCATTAAATCCGAAGGCCTCAGAGCCGATGGCTTCCCAGAGCTAGGCAGGTCCATACTCCCTCAGCCTTGGAACTGAGTGTCTGTGTGTGAGTGAAAAGGTGCCTCAGAAGCTACACGTGGGAGTCCTCAGACTTCCGCTCTGTGCTGCTCTTACACATTGTCCCATATGACCTGTATCTTTTCTTAAAGCCAAGTAAATGCATACTGGGTAAAGCCTACTATGTCTCGTTTGATAGTCCAAACCCAAGCTACCACTACTTGTCAAATAGAACGATGTTGCAACTATATCAATAGATTAAAGGGGGAAAAAAACACACACACAATCACCCCAATGATAAAAAAAAAAGCATTGGCCTGGTGCGCTGGCTCATGCCTGTAATCCCAGCACTTTGGGATGTTGAGGCAGGTGGATCATTTGGGGTCAGGAGTTTGTGACCCGCCTGGCCTACGTGGTGAAACATTGTCTCTACTAAAAATGCAAAATTTGGCCCAGCATGAAGGCAAACACCTGTAATCATAGCTACTCGGGAGGCTGAGGCAGGAGAATCACTTGAACCCGGGAGGCAGAGTTTGAAGTGAGCTGAGATTGAGCCACTGCATTCCAGCCTGGACAACAGAGTGAGACTCCATCTGAAAAAATAAATAAAATAAAATAACATTTTAGACGATACAAAGATATCTTAAAAGCCATCTTAAGAGTTTGAAGCATGCTGCCATGCTAAAGAAAGCATTCCCAATTCAGCAAAACTCTTAGTGAGCTTTCTTAATCTCATGAAAGGTTTCTAGATGAAAGGTTTGTCTACTACAAATATCTACTAGATGGTGAAATCAAAGTCAAGACAAAAGACTGACTCCTGAAACCCCAATTCAGCACTGGGCTAGAGGTTTCTGCCAACAGAAAAATGGGCAAAGGATATGCACAGGCAATTTATAGAAGAAATGAAATAAGCAATAAAATATGCAAAATTGAACAGCCTTATTAATACACAAGTAAACACTAGGGGGAATATCAACTGGTAATATCACTTTGGAGAGTGTGGCAGATACTAAAAAGGCTGGCTCACCCAAATGAATAAAAATAAAATGCAATGCAAATAGTAACCAAAAGAGAGCAGCAGTGGCTATGCTAATATCAGGTAACACAGATTTTAGCCAGGTGTAGTGGTTTATGCCTGTAATCCCAGCTACTTGGGAGGCTGAGTTGGGAGGATTGCTTGAGCTCAGGAGTTCAGGACCAGCCTAGGCAACATAGTAAAACCCGCCCCCTCAAACCCATCTCTTAAAAAAAAAAAAAAAGTAGTAGAGTTTAAATCAAGAAAAGTTATAAGAGATGAGATGAAGAAGAAGAAGGACTTTTTTTTTTTTTTTTTTTTTTTTTTTTTTCAGATGGAGTTTCTTGTTGCCCAGGCTAGAGTGCAATGCAATAGCATGATCTTGGCTCACTGCAACCGCCAACTCCCCGGCTCAAGTGATTCTCCCATCTCAGCCTTCCAAGTAGCTGGGATTCCAGGTGTGTGGCACCATGTCTGGCTAATTTTTTTGTATTTTTAGTAGAGATGAGGTTTCACCATATTGGCAAAGCTGGTCTCGAACTCCCGACCTCAGGTGATCCTCCCACCTTGGCCTCCCACAGTGCTGGGATTACAGGCATGAGCCACCGCCCCCAGTCAGATATTATATATTAACAAATAAAACTTTTGGCTGGGCATGGTGGCTCACACCTATAATCCTGGCACTTTGGGAGGCCAAGGCAGGCAGATCACAAAGTTTGATACCAGCCTGACCAACATGGTGAAATGCTGTCTTTACTAATAGCTGAGATTACAGGTGTATGCCACCATGCCTGGCTAATTTTTGTATTTTACAAATGAAATTACACAGGTGGAAAAAATTTTGGTTTTGTGTTTGTGTGTGTGGGGGGCAGGGTTTGAGGCAGGATCTCACTCTGTCATCCAGGCTGAAGTGCAGGGGTACAATCATGGCTCAAGTGACCCTGCTACCTTAACCCCTCTAGTAGCTGAAATCACAGGTACACACCATCATACCTAGCTAAGTTTTTTGTTTTTGTTTTTGTAGGGATGGGTGTTGGGAGCCCTCCCGTGTGAAATCTTGCAAAGCAAGTCTCACAATATGGGTGGTTTGAGCTGGGATGCAGAGTCCCCAGGAAGAAGGAGCTTGAGATGAAAGGATCGGGGATACAAAGGAGAATCTAGTTAAAAGATAACCAGATGGACATGCAGTCATGAGGAACAATGTTTTTACGTAAACATGTATGTGAGCACCAAAAATAATCATTACCCTTTATGATCACCTATTGTTTGTCGTTTATATTGTGAATGGCATGTGATTTATCTACCTGTTTTTCTTCTTGCAATGACGTAAATAAGAGCCTGGAAAATGTATATATTCTGAACCTCTGAGAAATAAAGTTGTTGGTGCACTGACTCCTCAACCCTCCTGACCCCGCTTGTCTGTCTCCTTTTCTTCTTGTGCAACCCCCCACTCAGGTTGGAATCCTCTTGCTGGTCGAGAGTTCCCAGCAGATGGAGTTTCACCAAGTTTTCCAGGTTGGTCTCAAACTCCTGACCTCAAGTGATCTGCCAACCTAGGCCTCCCACAGTGCTAGAATTACAAGTATGAGCCACCACACCTGGCCTGAAATTGTTTTTTAAAAAATAAAATGGGCTGGGCAAGTGGCTCACACCTGTAATCCCAGCAGTTTGGGAGGCTGAAGTGGAAGGATCACTTGAGGTTAGGAGTTCGAGACCAGTCTGGCCAACATGGTAAAACCCCATCTCTACTAAAAATACAAAAAAAAAAAAAAAAAAAAAATTAGTCAGACATGGTGGCTCCCATCTACAGTGCCAGCTATGCTAAGGAGGCTGAGGCAGGAAAATTGCTTGAACCTGGGATGTAGAGGTTGCAGTGAGCAGAGATCAAGCCACTACATTCCAGCCTCAGTGACAGAGCAAGACTCCCTCTCAGAAAAACAAATAATATTAATAAATTAATTAATTAGTTAAAATGTAGTGCGACTAATGATAATACTGATCATTTCTTTCATTCTATTAACATTCCAAGTGCTGTGCTAAGTTCTTTACATAAAGTTTCACCTTTTTAACTTCCCCATAACCCTATAAGCTGGGTATTATTATGTCCATTTACAGATGAGGAATATTAGAGGCCTGGAGGCATTAAGTGTCATGCAGTAAGGAAGGGGCAGATCTCAGAGTCGCCTGGCTGCAAAGCTGGTGTCCCTGACCCACTGTGTGCCTCGACTACAGCCTTAGGCTGGGTTTGAGGAGGTCTTCTGAGTCTAGGGTCATTATTACATTTTATTCTACAAAGCATATTTCTGGTAAATGGAACTGTTTATACTGTTTATTTTTCCCCAATGCTTTTTTTTTTTTTTTTTTTTTGAGACAGAGTCCTGCCCTGTCAACCAGGCTGGAGTGCAATGTCGAGATCTTGGCTCACTGCAACCCCCGCCTCCTGGGTTCAAGCCATTCTCCTACTTCAGCCTCCTGAGTAGCTGGGATTACAGGTGTCCACCACCATGCCTGGTTAATTTTTTCGTATCTTTAGTAGAGACAGGGTTTGACCATGTTGGCCAGGCTGGTCTTGAACTCCTGACGTCATGATCTGTCCACCTCAGCCTCCCAAAGTGCTGGGATTACAGGTGTGAGCCACTGTGCCCGGGTCCACCGATGCTCTTATCCTTTGTCATCTGTTTCTGATGACAACAGAAAGTTCACCTTCCAAAAACCATCACTGGGACTCCACTTTGTGCAGAGAGAGGATGAGCTTCCATGCAGGTAGGGGCACACCAACACCCATGCAGCCTCCTCCCTATCTGCCTGCAGGTTGCAGCCAGAGGAGTTCAGAGCCTCTACAGAGAGCACAACTTCTCCAACTGGAACAGATTCCTCCTAAAGGAATCTCTTCAGGAAGATTATTTCAAGGATACAATGTACATGCATTCCTCCAAAATATACTTATATATTTAGATGGACTTAAGTAATCAGGAGGCTGTGTGTGTATGTGTGTGCGTATGTGCGTGCGCGCGTGCACGCGTGTGTGTGTGTGTTTTGCATGTTCTTGGTTCACAGAACCCCTTCAGAAATCCCTGTGGGCAGTAAGCCTGTTTGTAGACATCTCCCTCCCCTCACAGTCCCTCTGAGGGGCTGACCTGCCCCCCACCCTCTGGGAGCTGCGAGGTTGGAAGAGGGGACGCCTGCAACAGAGCCAGCACACAGCCAGGGACTCAAGGCACATGTGAGCCTTTGTTTCTGCTGTTCGGAGTCCATGCTTCCTTCACCACTGGAGTCTCAAAACCTTCCCTCACTCAACAGGGAGGTGCTGTTCAAAACTCTGGGTAGACACTAGGGCTGGGGAGGGAATTGTGCAGAAGGGACTCCAGCCTGTCTATCCACCAGGTGAGGGGGTACCTGCATCTCTCTCAGCCTGATCTGGACCCGCCTCCTGGGCTCTGGCTGCAATGCCTTTCTGCAGTGTCTTGACCTTGGCTCCTGCCCAAGACAAAGACAGAGCAACCTGTCTTTATGAGAGGTTCCTCTGCCAGGGGGAGGGACCCGGAGAAAACCAGAAGGACGGCCAGAGCCAGAGAAAGATAAAGCACCCCAGGGCCTCCCACAGCAGTGCCTGAGCAGGAATGGAGAGGGGCCATGACTCACAAGACCCTGCAAGGTCACTTTAAGGAGGACTGTCCAGCTGCAGCAAGACACTGTAAGCAGGTGTGGGTGGAAAATGGCATAGGTGCCAAGGCAACAAGTTGAAGGCACAACCTGTCCCTGTGTAATGAATACATAGTTAGAAAATGTAGCAAGAATATTACAGTTGAAATAGAGATAAGATCTAGAAATAAGTACATAATTAATCCTGTAGGATCATTAGTTCTTATTGTAACCTTTACTCTGTTGTTATGATACAGGACCTTGCTGGTGAAGTTGGTTTAGGAATGGAAGGGACATTGTAAAGAATGATCATGAGGCAAGAGTGCAAGCTTAAAGTTACAACTGCAAGTTACAGCTTAAAGTTACAGATGCAAGTTACAAAGCTTGTAACTTGCATCTGTAACTCTAAGTTAGCCAGGACTGTACTTGCTGCCCAGCAAGTCAGGCTTGTAGCAGCGCCAGGGCTGGGGATGGCACCCACTGCCTAGCAAGCTGTGAAAAGGAGTCTCCCTTTCCTTCGGGGAGTTAGAGAACGCTCTGCTCCACCAGGCTCTTGTGGTGGGTCGGCTTATGTCAGACTGTCCCACAGATACCCGAGTGGCTTAAATGTCTCCTTGTGGTGCTGTCTCCAATGGTCATGCTTCTTGTCCACTTTCATGCTCCGCTTCTTCGCCTGGCTCCTCCTTTTAAGTTAGCTTTAGAAAGGACAGTTGCAACCTCTGGGTGTGTGATCTTCCTGACCAATCACAGAAAAATGCTGACTTGATTCTTTGTTTCTACAATCTCTCCTCTCCACACACATAGAGAACACCCACCAGACCCGGTAGGGCTGGACTCTACAGGCAGGAAGTGAAACCACAGCGCTTCAGAAAAAGAGTGGGACTGGGACAAGCCTAGCAAAGAGGCTGAGCATGAATCCACCCATCAGGTACTACTGCCCGCTCTGTCTGCTGGGCCCCTCCTGCTCCTTCCTGCCTGGTGGCTCTGCTGGGCCTCAGCCCGGGCCTCCCCTGCCCCTACCCATCCCCCACCCTGGGCTCCCTCCTCTCTGGCTCCCCTGCCGCCCCCACTCCCAGCCAGGCTCTTTGCTTTGCGGTGTGGTCGCCCCACTGCTGCTTCTGCATGGGCTGTCACCCGGCCTGCCCCAGCTCAGGCCTCCTGCTGAGACTCTCCCCTGAAACTCATGGCCAGGATGATGCTCCCTGCCTTGGGAGGGTGCTCCCTGTATGTGCTTCCCCCCATTCCTCAGCTCTGGAACGGGGAGAATTGAACCAAAGGATGATTGGAGCAATCGGGCATTTTGTTCATAGGGCTTTGGCGGATTTTCTGTAAGATTGACTTTGCTTAAATACAAAATCTTCGGAGAGGGTGTGGGGGAGCAAACAGTCTCTGAAGCACAAGATAAATCTTGTCACCCAAGGATGACTCCAGGGTGAGCAGATGTCCCCACACACAGGTTCCAATCCAAGGTCGCTCTTCATCTTGTAGAACATGACCAGTGACATGGAAGGAGTTTTTAAAAAAAATCAATGATCAAGGGAAATGCTCTTATTTTAAAATTTAGTAAGAAGAGAGGCCCGTCCCCAGTGGCTCCCTCCTGCAGGGCCCATGATGCAGAGGCTGGACAGGGCTGGCCTGGAAAGGGGCCCCAGCTCCCACCTCCACCCCAGCTCTGTGGGCTCCACAGACTACCCCACCCTCTGTGCCTCTGGCACCTCCTCTGTAAAATGGAGCGGGCTGCTGCAGGCCTCAGGCACACGCCAGGAGCTCAGACACTTATAGCACTTAGAAGAGAAGCCTGGGCCTGCTGCACGCAGTGGCTTATGCCTGTAATCCCAGCACTTTGGGAGGCTGAGGTGGGCAGATCACAAGGTCAGGAGTTCAAGAACAGCCTGGCCAACATGGCAAAACCCCATCTCTACTAAAAATACAAAAATTACCTGGGCTTGGTGATGCCTGCCTGTAATCCCAGCTACTCAGGAGGTTCAGGCAGGCAATTGCTTGAACCCAGGAGGCAGAGGTTGCAGTGAGCTGAGATCCCACCATTGCACTCCAGCCTGGGCAACAAAGCAAGACTCTGTCTCAAAAAACAAGGAGAGTAGCCTGGGCCTGGGAATTCACTGTGATCCCAAAGAAAAAGAATCGTCGTTGTCATCAGACAGGTGAAATGTGAGGAAGGAACTGAGCTGAAATGTTCAAGCAATTATTTTAGGGTAGAGAGTTTTATTTTCTGTTGCATTTTCCTATTGGGTTGGGAGATGTGTGGCAGAAAAACTGGGAGGTAGAGGGTGGCCAGTGGTAGGTCCAGAGCTGGGGTTCCAGCTAGGAGAGGTCACCTGGCTGCCCCTGCCAGCATCCCCTCCTCTTTCTGTCTCCCAGTCTTCCTGCCTGGGAAAGCGGCAGACATGCTCAGGGCTGTGCAGGGATGTGGGAGGCCCAGAGCCCAGGGCCGTCCAGGGAGTGGGGTTCGGTGGCCATCAGCCCCGAGGACCCAGGGCCGCTCTGCATTGGCAGGTTTCTCTTTTGTGCCTTCAGACACCCGATGAATGCTATGTATCCAGGCATATTCTACTTCCACTTTAGAAACCTACGGAAAGCCTACGGTCGGAACGAAACCTGGCTGTGCTTCACAGTGGAAGGTATAATGAATGGCTCAACTGTGTCCAGGAAGAGCGGCGTCTTCCGAAACCAGGTAGCACCAAAGTCCTAGTTACACCCCCAAAAGGAGCTAAGCAGCTGGGCATGCAGAAAACACAACAAGAGACGCGGCCGGCACAGGCTCTCCAGCGTGTACTCTTCTCCCACATTTCCTTTTTCTTTCTTTCTTTCTTTTTTTTTTGTTGGGGGGGGGGACAGAGTTTTGTTCTGTTGCCCAAGCTAGACTGAAGTGGCATGATCTCAGCTCACCGCAACCTCCACCTCCAGGGTTCAAGCAATTCTGCTGCTTCAGCCTCCTGAGTAGCAGGGATTACAGGTGCCTGCCACCATGCCTGGCTAATTCTTTTATATTTTTAGTAGAGATGGGGTTCATCACGTTGGCCAGGCTGGTCTTGAACTCCTGACCTCAAGTGATCCACCCACCTTGGCCTCCTAACGTGCTGGGATTACACACGTGAACAACCGTCCCCAAACCTCCTCCCACATTTTTTTTTAAGTCCCTGGCCCAGATCTTCCTGCCTGACTCTCCTGAGATCCAATCATGGAGGGGGTTTTCCTCTTCCTAAAGGCCTTGTTTGGAGCCCTGCATCCTGATTCTTGACTTTGTTTCCCAAAATCTTGTCATGGAGCTGTGAATCCAGCAGTCCTCGGGAAATAGCAGCTGTGGGATGCGGGGTGTGTGGTGTCCAGCGTGATGTCTGGGTCAGTCACCGCTGGGCTGGTGCGGCCGCCCCCGCCACTGCCCTGATTCCTGGATGTCAAGGACACATCATCACAGGATGGTGAACCCTGGCTCCTCACCCTTCCACTGCCACACCGGCCACTTTGCCTCCCCTCAACCCTGTCATGCTCACACACCCCTGCGGCCCCCTCCACCCAGGCAGGAGACTTTTCACAGTGTATTTGGAGAAGGAGCCAACTGTGTGCTGGGCAGGCCTGGCTGATGGTGGTGCTGGCCATGGAAACACCCAGGACTCAGGAGTGAAGGGGTTCCAGTCCCCACATGCTCAAAAAGCAACAAGAACTGGCAAAAGTCATTTTAATTTCTGCCTTAGCTCAAATCTTTCACATACAATTTCAGCATATAATTAATATAAAATTCCTCACCAGAGAGGTGAAAGTTCATTTTATTCTGAGATATGTCAAGATCTCTAATCAGAGCCCCATTTCAGGTACTCGGCAGCCTCCATGGCCAACCCTGAACTCCATGGGGCAATGCTGGTCCAGTGACCTCCCCAGCAGAAGGCAGGCAGGGAACAAGGCAGACCCCAGAGAGCCAAACTACAGCAGGGGCTGAGGATGCCTCGTGAATGGATGCCTGGGAAAATGGATGCCAGAATTCACACATGCGGCCATGTTGAGACAGGGAAAGACTCAATCAAATAAAGAAGGAAGGGGCCAGGGGTGGTGGCTCAATGTAATCCCAGCGCTTTGAGACGCGAGGCAGGTGGATCACCTGAGGTCAGAAATTTGAGAGCAGCCTGGCCAACATGGTGAAACCCAGTCTCTACTAAAAATACAAAAATTAGCCAGGTGTGGTGGCGGGCCCCTGTAATCCCACCTACTCAGGAGGCTGAGGCAGGAGAATCGCTTGAACCCGGGAAGCAGAGGTTGTAGTGAGCCGAGATCACCCCACTGCACTCCAGCCTCGGTGACAGAGCAAGACTCTGTCTTGGGAAAAAATAAAAATAATAAAAGGAAGGAGAAGGATGGAAGAAGGAAACTTAGTCAATAAATGCCCTTGCATCTACTATGTACCCATAAAAATTAAAAGTAAATAAATAAAATAAGGCCCAGCATGGTGGTTTACACTCATAGTCTCAGAATTTTGGGAGGCTGAGGCAGGAGGATCGCTTGAGCTCAAGCGTTTGAGATCAGCGTGGGTAGCATGACAAAACCCTATCTCTACAAAAAAATAAGCCAAGGGTGGTGGCAGGCACCTGCACCCCCAGCTAATCAGGAGGCTGAGGTGGGAAGATTCCTTGTGCCTGGGAGGTCAAGGCTGCGCTGAGCCCAGCTCTCACCACTGCACCCCAGCCCGGGAAACAGAGAGAGACCCTGTCTCAAGATACATCAAGAAGGAAATGCCTTGGGGCTCCTGGCCTGCCCTCTGCTCCCATCGCCCCACCCCTGCACTCCTCCTGCTGGTCTGAGCTCCCCAAACCCCTCTCCTCCTCTTTCCCTAGGTGGGTTCTGATCCCTCCTGTCATGCAGAAATGTGCTTCCTCTCATGGTTCCGCCACAACATGCTGTCTCCTAACAAGGACTACGAGGTCACCTGGTACGCCTCTTGGAGCCCTTGCCCAGAGTGTGCAGGGCAGGTGGCCGAGTTCCTGGCCAGGCACAGGAACGTGAGGCTCACCATCTTCACTGCCCGCCTCTACTACTTCTGGAATCCAGATTTCCAGCAGGGGCTCCGCAGGCTGAGTCAGGAAGGGGCCTCCGTGCTGATCATGGACTATGAAGGTGAGATGTACAGGGCTGAGGAGAGCGGGTGGCAGGGGATGGCATGAGGGGCAGGTGGGTCTGCAATGCCGTGGGGCGGGGCAGTGTCCCTGAGGAAGCTGTGGGGACAGGCTGGTGCTGACTGCACGTGGCAGCCAGGAGACATGGCCTGGGAGGGGAGGGCTCAGTGCTGGGGAGAGAGGCCTGCTGGGCCCTCACTGCTTTCTCCTGGTTTTTGTTTCAGATTTTGAATATTGTTGGGATAACTTTGTGTACAATGACGGTCAGACGTTCAAGCCTTGGAAGAGACTGCAAGACAACTCTCTATCCTTGCACATCACGCTGCAGGAGATTCTCCAGTGAAGGGTCTCCCCGGGCCTCCCGGTCTGGCTGCTCTAGCCTCCTGCTCTTCCTGCGAGGGCCTCCAACCCATCCTGGACCAGCTTTGCTTTTGCCGGATCATCCTGAGCTCCTCCTGCCCTCAGGCCCATTCCACACTGCTCCCCTGCCTCATCGCCTCCTCCTGGCTCTCCTGGGCTTCTTCTGCAGAGGCCCCTTTCTGTCTCCATGGCTATTTCCATCCATTAGAACCCATTCCCCAGCCTGGTGCCCCTAACCTGGCTCTTCCCATCTCCCCAGCAAAACCAAATCTTACTAAAGTCAACACAGGTTGGGTGCGGTGGCTCATGTCTGTCATCCCAGCATCTTGGGAGGTCGAGGTGAGAGGATCACTTGAGGTTAGGAGTTCGAGACCAGCCTGGCCAACATGGTGTAACCCCATGTCTAATAAAAATACAAAAAAATTTAATCAGGTGTGGTGGTTCATGCCTACAGTGTCAGCTACTCGGGAGGCTGAGGCAGGAGAATTCCTTGAACTCCAGAGGCTGAGGTTGCAGTGAGCCAAGGTTGTGCCATTATACCCCAGCCTAGGTGATAGAGCAAGACTCCCTCTCAAAATAAATAAATTAATTAAATAAAATAACTAAATAAAATGTAGTGTGATTAATGATAATAACCATCATTTCTTCCATTCTATTGCACTCTGGGTACTGTGCTAAGTTCTTTACATAAAGTTTCATATTTTTATCTTCCCCATAACCCTATAAACTGGGTATTATTAGGTCCATTTACAGATGAGGAATATTACAGGCCCATGGACATTAGGGTCACGCAGTCAGGAAGGGGCAGATCTCAGAGTCGCCTGGCTGCAGAGCTGGTGTTCCTGCCCCACTGTGGCTTGACTGCCGCCTTAGAGCTGGGTTTGAGGCCTCCCTGTTCTAGGGTCATTATTACATTTTCTTCTACAAAGTATGTTTCTGGTTAATCCGTTTAACATGGATGCGCTTGTCCTTTGTCCATCTGTTTCTTTTGTTTTGTTTTGTTTTGGAGCTAAAATTTTGGTCTTGTTGCCCAGGCTGGAGTGCAATGTCTTGATCTTGGCTCACTGCAACCTCTGCCTCATGGGTTCAAGTGATTCTCCCACTTCAGCCTCCTGAATAGCTGGGATTATAGGCAGGTGCCAGCACGTCTGGTTAATTTTGTATTTTTAGTAGAGATGGGGTTTCACCATGTTAGTCAAGCTGGTCTCAAACTCGCACCTTAGGTGATCTGCCGCCTTGGCCTCCCAAAGTGCTGGGATTACAGCTGTGAGCCACTGTGACTGGTTGTCCACCTGTTTCTGATGACAACAGAAACCTTCACCTTCCAAAAACCATCCCCAGGACAAGCTTCCATGCAGGTAGGGGCGCTGCTGCACCCCCAGTACCCATGCAGCCTCCTCCCTGTCTGCCTGCAGATGTTTCGCATGTTCTTGGTCCACAGGGAACCCCTTGAGAAGTCCCTGTGGGCAGTGAGCCTGTTTGTAGACATCCCCTTCCCCTCATTGATGTTACAGACATCACACTACGAGGTCACCTGGTACGCCTCTTGGAGCCCTTGCCCAGAGTGTGCAGCCCTCTGAGGGGCTGACCTGCCCCCCACCCTCTGGAAACTGGGAGGTTGGAAGAGGGGACACCTGTAACAGAGCCAGCATACAGCCGGGGACTCAAGGCACATCTAAGCCTTCATTTCTGCTGTGCGGATTCCACACTTCCTTCACCCCCAGAATCTCAAAACCTCCCCTCACTCAACAGGGAGGTGCTGCTCCAAGCTCTGGACAGACATTAGGGCTGGGGAGGAGGTGGTGGAGAGGGGACTCCAGCCTGTCCATCCACCAGGTGAGGGGACACCTGCCTCTCTCTCAGCCTGGTCTGGACCCGCCTCCTGGGCTCTGGCTGCAATGCCTTTCTCTTTTCCTTGGCAATTCCCTTCGGTCCTGCCCAAGACAGATAAAGACAGAGCAACCTGTTTTTATGAGAGGTTCCTCTGCCAGGGGGAAGGCCCCGGGGAAAACCAGAAGGACGGCCAGAGCCAGAGAAAGATAAAGCACCCCAGGGCCTCCCACACCGGTGCCTGAGCAGGAACCGAGAGGGGCCATGACTCATGAGGCCCTGTGAGGTCACTTTCAGGAGGGGTGCTCAGCTGTAAGACACTACAAGCAGGAAGTGAAACCACAGCGCTTCAGAAAACGAGCGGGACTGGGACCCACCTAACAAAGAGGCTGAGCATGAATTCGCCGATCAGGTACTGCTGCCCCTTCCTGCCTGGTGGCCCGGTAGGGACTCAACCCTGGCCTCTCCCTGCCCCTGCCCCGTCCCCAGCCCTGGGCTCCCTCCCCTCTGGCTCCTCTGCTTCTCTTACTCCTAGCCACGCTCTTTGCTCTGCTGTGTGGTCGCCTCACTGCTGTTTCTCAATGGGACGCCTCCCCTGCCAGCCCCAGCCCAAGATTCCTGCTGAGACTCTCCCCTGAAAGTCATGGCCAGGCTGGTGCTCCCTGCCTTGGGAGGTGCTCCCTCTGCATGCTTCCCACCATTCCTGAGCTCTGGAACTAGGATAATTGAACCAAAGGATGAGTGGAGCAATTGGGCATTTTGTTCACAGGGCTTTCATGAGTTTTCTGTAAGATTGACTTTGCTTAAATACAAAATCTTAGGAGAGGGTATTGGGGAGGAAATGGTCTCTGAAGCACAAGATAAATCATGTCACCCAAGGATGACTCCACGGTGAGCAGAGGTCCCCACACAAAGGTTCCAGTCCAAGGTCACTCTTCATCTTGTAGAACATGACCAGTAACGCGGAATGTGAGAAAAAAAGGAATGATCAGGAGAAATGCTCTTAAGATTGAATGAACAGAGAGCGGGTCCTCAATGGCTCCCTCCTGCAGGGCCTGTGCTGCAGAGGCTGGACAGGGCTGGTCTGGAAAGGGGCCCCAGCTCCCTCCGCCCAGTTCCGTGTCCTGGGCAGGGTACCCTGCCTCTCTGCCCCTCTGGCATCTCCTCTGTAAGATGGGAATGGCCCTGCAGGCCCAGGTCAGCATCATGGGAGCTCAGAACTTCACAGCATTTACAAGAGGGGCCTGGCCCTTGAAATTTCGGTTTTAGCATGATTTAAAAATAATGTTAGCCGGACACGGTGGCTCACCCCTCTAATCCCAGCACTTTGGGAGGCCGAGGTGGGCAGATCACCTGAGGTCAGGAGTTGGAAACCAACCTGACCAACATGGAGAAACCCCGTCTCTACTAAAAATACAAGGTTAGCCGGGCATGGTGGTGCATACCTGTAATCCCAGCTACTCAGGAGGCTGAGGCAGGAGAATCACTTGAACCTGGAAGGCCAAGGTTGTGGTGAGCCCAGATCATGCCACTGCACTCCAGCCTGGGCAACAACAGGGAAACTCTGTCTCAAAATACAATACAATACAATACAATACAATACAATACAATACAATACAATACAATACAATACAATACAAAACAAATATAAATAATGTTAACATGCAGAGGTGAAGCGTCAGGAAGGAATTGAGCTGAAAGGTTAAAAGCTTTTATTTTGGGGTGAGGTGTTTTATTCTTTGCATTTTCCTAATGGGTGGGGAGTGGGTGGGCAGAAATACTGGAGGGTGGGGAAGGCACCCCTGGAAAGACCAGCCCTGGCGCCTGAGCAGGGAGAGGTCACCTGGCCCTGCTGCCCCTGCCACCATCGTCTCCTCTTCCTGTCTCCTCAGTCTTCCTGCCTGGGAAGGTGGCAGAAACTCTCAGGGCTGTGGAGGGATGGGGGAGGCCCAAGGCTGTCCAGGAGCTGTGTTGAGTGGACATCAGCTCCGAGACTCCGGGGAGCGCTCTGTGCACGGGCCCTTTCTCTCTTGTGCCTTCAGAAATCCCATGAAGTGCATGTATCAACACACATTCTATGAGAACTTTGAAAATAAACCCGACCTCTCTGGTAAGAAGTACACTTGGCTGTGCTACGAAGTGAAGATAAAGAAGGACACCTCAAAACTCCCTTGGAACACAGGAGTCTTTCGAGGCCAGGTACCACCCAAACTTCAATTGGATCACAGGCAGGAGCTAAGCAGCTGGGAATGCAGAAAACATAAGACTAAGTAAAATGTGCGGTGGTGGGCTCTCAATTGTGTATTTCTTCCCACATTTCTCTCTCCTTTCTTTCTTCTTTCCTTCCTTCCTTCCTTCCTTTCTCTCTCTCTCTTTCCTTTTTCTTTCTTTCTTTCTTTCTCTCTTTCTTTCTTTCTCTCTCTCTTTCTCCCTCTCTTTTTCTCTCTCTTTCTCTCTCTCTCTCTTTTTTTTTTTTGGTGGAGATGGAGTCTTGCTCTTGTTGCCCACACTGGAGTGCAATGGCACGATCTCAGCTCACTGCATCCTCTGCCTCCCAGGTTCAAGTGATTCTTCTGCCTCAGCCTCTGGAGTAGCTGGGATTACAGATGTGTGCCGCCACATCCAGCTAATTTTTTCTATTTATTGTAGAGATGGGTTTCATTATGTTGGCCAGTCTGGTCTTTAACTTCTGACTTCAGACGATTCACCTGCCTCGGCCTCTCAAAGTCCTGGGATTACAGTTGTGAACCACCTCGTCCAGCTTCCTACATTTAAGTCGGTGGCTCAGACTTTCTGGCTTGACTGCCCTGGCCACTGCCCTGATTCTTCCCTGTCAAGGACACATCATCACAGGACGGTGAACCCTCACTCCTCACCTTGCCGCCCCATTTGGGGCACTAAACCCCCTGTCTTGTCCCACCCACCCCTGCAGCCCTCTCCACCCAGGCAGGAGACTTTTCAGAGTGTGTTTGCGGGGGAGCTCTCTGTGTGCTGGGCAGGCCTGGCCTATAGCAGTGCTGACCACGGAAACACCCAGGAGTCAGGAGCCAAGCACAAGTGTTTCCAGTCCCCAGGCGCTAAAAAGGAGACAAGAACTGGAAAAGCAATTTTTTTTTTTTGAGACGGAGTCTTGCTATATCACCAGGCTGGAGTGCAGTGGCGCCATCTTTACTCACTGCAATCTCCACTTCCCAAGCTCAAGTGATTCTGCTGTATCAGCCTCCCGAGTAGCTGGGACTACAGGCACATGCCACCATGCCCAGCTAATTTTTGTATTTTTAGTAGAGATGGGGTTGCCACTATGTTGGCAAGGATGGTCCTTATCTCTTGACCTTGTGATTCGCCCGCTTCAGGCTTCCAAAGTGGTGGGATTACAGGCGTGGGCCACTGCACATGGCTTTGTTTATTTGTTTTTGAGACCAGTCTCAGTCTGTCACCCAGGCTTGAGTGCAACGGTGTGATCTCTGCTCACTGCAACCTCTGCCTACTGGATTCTAGCAATTCTCCTTCCTCAGCCTCTCGAGTAGCTGGAATTACAGACATATGCCACCACACCTCGCTAATTTTCCTATTTTTGGTAGAGATGTGGTTTCACAATGTTGGCCAGGCTGGTCTCGAAATCCTGACCTTGTGATCTACCCGCCTTGGCCTCCCAAGTGCTGGGATTACACGTGTAAGCCACTGCTCCCATCCAGCAATTTTCATATTTTATTTAATCCAATGTAGCTGACATATTATTTCAACATTAATTAATATAAAATTCTTTACAACACAGTGAAGTTTCGTTTTCTTCTTACACTGAGTCTTTGAAATGAGCTGTGTATTTTTCGTGTGCCCAAGTCTCTCATCAGGCCCCATTTCAAGTGTTCCGTAACCCCCTTGGCCTGTGCCCACCACCCCACATGGGCCAGCACAGGTCCAGCGGCCTCCCCAGCAGATGGCAGGCAGAGAACAAGGCTGACCCCAGAGGGCCAGGACACAGCTGGGACTGAGCATTTCTGGTGAATGGATGCCTGGGAGAATGGATGCCAGAATTCACACATGAGGTTGTGAACAGGGCTAGGAAGACTACCAACAGAAGAGAAGCACGTGTCTCAATGCATCCTGTGATGCTTCAACAGCATGACTGAGGCGGGGAAATTTACAATGAACAGAAATGCTTGGCTCCAGTTCTAGACTCTGGGAAGTCCAATGTCAAGGCACCAGCAAGTTTCCAGGGCCTGCGAGCTGCACCGTCACGTGGGGGTGAAGGTTGTTGGGGAAGCTCAGGGGATGCTGCTGACAGAGTGGCCTGGGATGTGGAGTCACTACTGCTCCACCACACGGGGACAGAGGAAGCAGGAGTTTAGTCTGACACGCTGCCCCTCCAACTGGAGGGGAAGAGACAGAGAGAGGGGCTGAAGTCACCCTTGCATAACCACCCCAGTGGCACCCACAAAGGTGCAGTCCCCACAGCCTCATAGCCAAGTGTCGGTGCCAACTCTTAAGGCCGTTACAATAGCAATTAACCCTGAACATGAGCTTTGGAGCAGACACTCAAGCCAAACAGGGCGGATGGAGGAAAGGAGCTTCGATGAACAAGATCCCCTGGGCTCTTGTCTGGGCCCCTCCTCTCCCTGCCCTACCCCAGTAATCCTCCTGGTCCTCCTCTCAGAGCTTCCCCTGCTCCTCCTTCCTCCTCCCTCAGGTCAATTTCAACCCTGAGCACCATGCAGAAATGTACTTCCTCTCTTGGTTCCGTGGCAAACTGCTGCCTGCTTGCAAACGCTCCCAGATCACTTGGTTTGTATCCTGGAACCCCTGCCTGTACTGTGTGGCAAAGGTGGCCGAGTTCCTGGCTGAGCACCCCAACGTCACCCTGACCGTCTCCACTGCCCGCCTCTACTGCTACTGGAAAAAAGATTGGCGGAGGGCACTTCGAAAGCTATGTCAGACAGGGGCCCGTGTGAAGATCATGGACTACGAAGGTGAGGAGGTGGAGGAGTCAGGGGAGCTTGAGAGGGAGGAACAGCCTGAGGGATGGATGGATCTGCAATGTCCTGGGTAGGGGTGTCTCAGGGCAGCCTGCAGGGGCGGAATGGGCACTGACCAAAACTGACAGCCAAAAGACCAGGCCTGGGAGGGCAGGCCCAGGGTCAAGGAGAACCTGACTGCTTCCTACCTCTTCATCTCAGAATTTGAATACTGCTGGGAAAACTTTGTATATAAAGAATATAAGCCATCCATGTGTTGGGACAAAGACAATTACGGATTCCTGCGCCGCAAGCTACAGGAGATTCTCAGGTGAGGGTCTCCCTCTGGCCTCATCGTCTCTCTCCTCGCACCTACTACTCATCCTCCCGAGGCCTCCCTGGCCTGGCCCTCCCGCCCCTGCCTACCCCTCCACCCCTACTCCTGGTGCTCCCTCCAACTCACTGTCTCCTCCCAACTTTTATGGGCCCTGCCTGTGAGTGAGAGGCCCCTTCTGCCACCAGAGCGATTTCCATACACCCCCGAGGCTGGACTCCCCACAGCTTGGGAGCCCCAGCCAGGCTCCTTCCATCTCCCTGGCATAACTGAATTTGTCATAAATGGATGTGAATATTCATAAGTCTGACAGTTGGAAACTTTCAGCAACATTCTTCAAGGCCGACCTGAGCCTCTGAGAAGGAGCTGCCTCCGTGGAAACAGAGCTTCAGGCTTCAGAAGATGCCCTGGGCCAGGTTCCCACAAGGCAGGAGTTTATTTTCTCACAGATCTAGAGACTGCAAGTACAAGGTGGAGCTGTGGGCAGGGTTGTTTCCTCAGAGGCGGGTCCTCCTGGCTGGCAGGGGTCCCTCACATGGGGTCTTCTGTGGCCTGTCCTCTGTGCACCTGCACCCCTGGGGTCTCTTTGCCTCCAAATGTCCTCCTCTTTTATGGACCCCAGTCAGACAAGATTAGGGCCCACACTAAGGGCCATGAGTTAATAGAATCACCACTTAGTGGACAAGTGTCCAAATGCAGTTACACTGTGAAATAGGTGGGGATGAGGGCTTCAACCTATCAGTGTTGGGAAGATGCAATCTAGCTCAGGACAATGACACAGGGTGCTTTGGGTCAAGCTTGGGTGGGGAGAGCAGGGGTCCCACTTCTGTGTGTCTGTCTCCTGCCCTGACCCTCCCAACCCCTCCCTCCACACCTTGCTGCACCTGGACCGCACCCCATGGCTTCCGCACCCAACAGCACCCAGCCCCACCTCCTGCTCATGCCTGTCCTCTTGCAAATCCACCCCCCACAGGGTTGGAGATGGAGAAAGAGCCAAGAAAACACTCTGTGATCAAGGTCCCATTTGAGTAAGATTTTTTTTTTCTTTGAGACAGGGTCTCGCTCTGTTGACCAGGCTGGACTACCGTGGCAAGCATGATCTCACTCACTGCAACCTCCACATCCCAAGTTGAAGCGATTCTCCTCCTCAGCCTCCCAAGTACCTGGGATTACAGGCGCATACCATTATGCCCAGCTAATTTTTGTATTTTCAGTAGAGACGGGGTTTTGTCACATTGGCCAGGCTGTTGAGTAAGATTTTACAAAAGAGTAGGCTTGGATAACGGGAGGGCTTTAGATGCCAGGAGCTTTCCAAAACGCAGAATAGAAAAGTGGAACTAGTGACCAGAGAGCCCATAGAAAGGAGCTCAGGTGCTTGGGAGAGATGGGAATTGAGCACCTGGGACCAGAGGAGCAAGCTGCAAGACAGGGTGGCCTGGGACACCAGCCACTGCCCTTTTGTGACATGAGGACAAGAGGAAGCAGGAGCTCAGCCTGCCAGGGAACAACTCCGGGCAGGAGATGTGGAAGGAAGGACGGAGCTCAGTGTGGGGGCATGCATGGCATCTTGGGGGGCATCTGGGGGCCACACCTACCCCCTATTCCTCCCTCTGAGTGTAAAGGCAGCGGGGAGGCAGACATCTGCCCTTCACTCACCCTCCTTACCACAAGTCTCTGGGGTGGGGAGGCGGTGTCCCTGGGATGGTTCCTGAGGCCAGGATCCAAGGGTCCCTCCGGGGGTCCTCCCATCCAGGTGAGAAAGCAGCATGAAGTGAGGCTTGCACTTGGATGGGCCTGGGAGGTCACTCACAGCACAGGTGTCTCCTGGAACAAGGGCCCAGGAAGGTAGAAATAGAACCCAAGCCTTGGACTAACATCAGGGCCAAGACAAGCCTCCCAAGGAGGCTGCACACGAAGTCTCAGATCAGGGACCACTGCCCGCTCTACCTGCTGGGCCCACTGATGCCCCTTTTTGCTTGCTGGCCTTGCTGGTCCAAAGCCCTGGCATCCCCAGCCCTGGGCTCCCTCCCCTCTGGCTCCTCTGCCACCCCCACTCCTGGCCAGGCTCTTTGCTCTGCTGTGTGCTCACCTCCCTGCTGTTTCTGAACAGACTGCCTCCCACACCTGCCCCAGCCCAGACCTCCTGCTGAGACTCTCCCCTGAAAGTCGTGGCCAGGCTGGTGCTCCCCACCTTGGGAGGGTGCTCCCTCTGTGTGCTTCCCGACATTGTTCTGCATTTCTGGAACTCTCTGAGTTCTGGAACTAACTGGGAGAAATGAACCAAAGGTTGATTGGAGGAATCGCATTTTGTTCCCAGGGCTTTGTGGAATGTTCTGCAAGATTTACTTTGTTTCAATACAAAGTCTTAGGAGAGGGTATGGGGGAGGGAATGGCCTCTGTACCAGAATATGTCATTTCTTCCAAAGATGCCTCCGCTGTGAGCAGAGGAGGATGCACATGACCGCAGACACACACTCCTCCTCCGTGAGCACCATCCATCTTTTACAGTGACACCTGTAACATGGAATGGAGGAAAAAATATAATGATCAGGAGAAATGCTCTTATTTTAAAATGCAGTGAGAAAAGAGCCGGGTCCCCAACGGCTCCCTCCTGCAGGGCCCGTGAAGCAGAGGCTGGACAGGGCTGGCCTGGAAAGGAGCCCCAGCTCCATCCGCCCAGTTCCATGTCCTGGGCAGGTTACCCCGTCCTCTGTGCCTCTGGCACCTCCTCTCTAAAATGGGACTGGGCCCTGCAAGCTTCAGGCACAAGCCATGCATGAGTTGAGACACACATGCAGCACTCAGAAGAGTAGCCTGGGCCTGCTGCACACTGTGGCTCACGCCTGTAATCCCATCACTTTGGAAGGCTGAGGCGGGCAGATCACGAGGTCAGGAGTTCAAGACCAGCCTGGCCAACATGGCAAAACCCCATCTTTACTAAAAATACAAAAATTACCTGGGCATGGTGACCCACACCTGATTTCTCAGCTACTCGGGAGGCTGAGGCAGGCAATCACTTGAACCTAGGAGGCAGGGGTTGCAGTGACCCAAGATCACGCCACTTCACTCTAGCCTGGGCAACAAAGCAAGACTCTGTCTCAAAACAAAACAAAACAAAACAAAACAAAAAAGGAGAGTAGCCTGGGCCTGGGAATTCAGTGTGATCCCAAAGAAAAAGAATCGTTGTTGCCATCAGACAGGTGAAATGTGAGGAAGGAACTGAGCTGAAATGTTCAAGCAATTATTTTAGGGTAGAGAGTTTTATTCTCTGTTGCATTTTCCTATTGGGTTGGGAGATGTGTGGCAGAAAAACTGGGAGGTAGAGGGTGGCCAGTGGTAGGTCCAGAGCTGGGATTCCAGCTAGGAGATGTCACCTGGCTGCCCCTGCCAGCATCCCCTCATCTTTCTGTCTCCCAGTCTTCCTGCCTGGGAAAGCGGCAGACATGCTCAGGGCTGTGCAGGGATGTGGGAGGCCCAGAGCCCAGGGCCGTCCAGGGAGTGGGGTTCAGTGACCATCAGCCCCGAGGACCCGGGGCCACTCTGCATTGGCAGGTTTCTCTTTTGTGCCTTCAGACACCCGATGAATGCTATGTATCCAGGCATATTCTACTTCCACTTTAGAAACCTACGGAAAGCCTACGGTCGGAATGAAACCTGGCTGTGCTTCACAGTGGAAGGTATAATGAATGGCTCAATTGTCTCTGGGAAGAGCGGCGTCTTCCGAAACCAGGTAGCACCAAAGTCCTAGTTACACCCCCCAAAAGGAGCTAAGCAGCTGGGCATGCAGAAAACACAACAATAAGGCCAGGCGCGGTGGCTCAAGCCTGTAATCCCAGCACTTTGGGAGGCCGAGGCGGGTGGATCATAAGGTCAAGAGATCGAGACCATCCTGGTCAACATGGTGAAACCCCGTCTCTACTAAAAATACAAAAAATTAGCTGGGCATGGCGGCATGTGCCTGTAATCCCAGCTACTCGGGAGGGTGAGGCAGGAGAATTGCCTGAACCCAGGAGGCGGAGGTTGCGGTGAGCGGAGATCGCGCCATTGCACTCCAGCCTGGGTAACAAGAGCAAAACTCCGTCTCAAAAAAAAAAAAAGAAACAAAAACAAAACACAACAATAAGAGACATGGCTGGCACAGGCTCTAAAGCGTGTACTCTTCTCCCACATTTCCTTTTTCTTTGTTTTTTGAGACCGAGTCTTGCTCTGTCTCCCAGGCTACAGTGCAGTGGCATGACCTCAGCTCACTGCAACCTCCACCTCCAGGGTTCAAGCAATTCTCCTGCCTCAGCCTCCTGAGTAGCTGGGATTACAGGCTCCCGTCACCACGTCCAGTTAATTCTTTTGTATTTTAGTAGAGATGGGGTTTCACCATGTTGGCCAGGCTGGAAAACTTCTGACCTCATGATCCTCCTGCCTTGGCCTCCCAAAGTGCTGGGATTACAGGCAGGAGCAACTGCACCCAACCTCCTCCCACATTTTTTAAGTCCCTGGCCGAGATCTTTCTGCCTGACTCTCCTGGGATCCGATCATGGCGGGGGGTTTTCCTCTTCACAAAGGCCTTGTTTGGAGCCCTGCACACTGATTCTTGACTTTGTTTCCCAAAATCTTGTCATGGAACTGTGAATCCAGCAGTCCTCGGGAAACAGCAGCTGTGGGATGCGGGGTGTGGGGTGTCCGGCATGGTGTCTGGGTCAGTCACTGCTGTGCTGGTGCAGCCACCCCGACACTGCCCTGATTCCTGGATGTCAAGGACACATCGTCACAGGATGGTGAACCCTGGCTCCTCACCCTGCTGTCCATAATGGGCCACTGACCATCACCCCACCCTGTCATGTCCCACCCACCCCTGCGGCCCCCTCCACCCAGGCAGGAGACTTTTCACAGTGTGTTTGGGGAGGGAGCCGACTGTGTGCTGGGCAGGCCTGGCTGATGGTGGTGCTGGCCATGGAAACACCCAGAACTCAGGAGTGAAGGGATTCCAGTCCCCACATGCTCAAAAAGCAAGAAGAACTGGCAAAAGTCATTTTAATGTCTGCCTTAGCTCAAATCTTTCACATATAATTTCAACATATAATTAATATAATTAATATAAATTAATATAATTAATATAAAGTTCCTCACCAGAGAGGTGAGGAATTTTATTCTGAGATATGTCAAGATCTCTAATCAGAGCCCCATTTCAGGTACTTGGTAGCCCCCATGGTCAACCTTGAACTCCATGGGGCTATGCTGGTCCAGTGACCTTCCCAGCAAAAGGCAGGCAGGGAACAAGGCAGACTCCAGGGGGCCAGGCCACAGCAGGGGCTGAGGATGCCTTTGAATGAATGCCTGGGAGAATGGATGCCAGAATTCATGCATGAGGCCGTGATGAGACAGGGAAAGACTCAATTAAATAAAGAAGGAAGGGGCTTGGCGTGGTGGCTCAAGCCTATAATCCCAGCCCTTTGGGAGGCCTAGGCGGGTGGACTACCTGAGGTCAGGAGTTTGAGACCATCCTGGCCAACATGGTGAAACCCTGCCTCTACTAAAAATACAAAAATTAGCTGGGCATGGTAGCGAGGGCCTGTAATCCCAGCTACTCAGGAAGGCTGAGGCAGGAGAATCACTTGAACCAAGGAGGTAGAGTTTGCAGTGAGCCAAGATTGCACCACCGCCCTCTAGCCTCGGTGACAGAGCAAGACTCTGTCTCGGGAAAAAATAAAAATAAAAATAATTAAAGGAAGGAGAAGGATGGAAGAGGAAAAAGTCAGTCAATAAAACATCCTGGCACCTACTGTGTACCCTTAAAAATTAAAATAAGTTAATAAAATAAGGCCATGCATGGTTTACACTCACTATCCTAGATATTTGGGAGCCCGAGGCAGGAGGATGGCAAAACCCCATCTCCACAAAAAAAATAAGCCAGGGTGGTGGCACGCACCTGCACCCTCAGCTAATCAGGAGGCTGAGGTGGGAAGATTCCTTGTGCCTGCGAGGTCAAGGCTGCAATGAGTCCAGATCTCACCACTGCACCCCAGCCTGGGCAACAGAGACCCTATCTCAAAAATACATCAAGAGACTGGGCGCAGTGGCTCACGCCTGTAATCCCAGCACTTTGGGAGGCCGAGGTGGGTGGATCACGAGGTCAAGAGATCGAGACCATCCTGGTCAACATGATGAAACCCCGTCTCTACTAAAAATACAAAAAGTTAGCTGGGCATGGTGGCATGTGCCTGTAATCCCAGGTACTCAGGAGGCTGAGGCAGGAGAATTGCCTGAACCCAGAAGGCGAAGGTTGCGGCGAGCCGAGATCGCACCATTGCACTCCAGCCTGGGTAACAAGAGCGAAACTCCGTCTCAAATAAAAATAAAAATAAAAATAAAAATAAAAGTTTGTTGAACTGAACAATAAAAGAATATGGATTCCATATTCTTTTAAACAAAAGTTTATCCCAGCACTTTGGGAGAATCATGATGTCAAGAGATCGAGACCATCCTGGCCAACACGGTGAAACCCCGTCTCTACTAAAAAATACAAAAATTAGCTGGGTGTGGTGGTGGGCGCCTGTAGTCCCAGCTACTTGGGAGGCTGAGGCATAAGAACTGCTTGAACCTGGGGGGCGGAGGTTGCGGTGAGCCAAGATCGTGCCACTGCACTCCAGCCTGGGTAACAAGAGCGAAACTCCGTCTCAAAAAAAAAAAAAAAAAAACATCAAGAAGGAAATGCCTTGGGGCTCCTGGCCTGCCCTCTGCTCCCATCGCCCCACCCCTGCACTCCTCCTGTTCCTGGTCTGAGCTCCCCCCACCCACCTCCTCCTCCTTCCCTAGGTGGGTTCTGATCCCTCCTGTCATGCAGAAATGTGCTTCCTCTCATGGTTCCGCCACAACATGCTGTCTCCTAACAAGGACTACGAGGTCACCTGGTACGCCTCTTGGAGCCCTTGCCCAAAGTGTGCAGGGCCGGTGGCCGAGTTCCTGGCCAGGCACAGGAACGTGAGGCTCACCATCTTCACTGCCCGCCTCTACTACTTCTGGAATCCAGATTACCAGCAGGGGCTCCGCAGGCTGAGTCAGGAAGGGGCCTCCGTGCTGATCATGGACTATGAAGGTGAGATGTACAGGGCTGAGGAGAGCGGTTGGCAGGGGATGGCATGAGGGGCAGGTGGGTCTGCAATGCCGTGGGGCGGGGCAGTGTCCCTGAGGAAGCTGTGGGGACAGGCTGGTGCTGACTGCACGTGGCAGCCAGGAGACATGGCCTGGGAGGGGAGGGCTCAGTGCTGGGGAGAGAGGCCTGCTGGGCCCTCACTGCTTTGTCCTGGTTTTTGTTTCAGATTTTGAATATTGTTGGGATAACTTTGTGTACAATGACGGTCAGACGTTCAAGCCTTGGAACATACTACAAGACAACTCTCTATCCTTGCACATCACGCTGCAGGAGATTCTCCAGTGAAGGGTCTCCCCGGGCCTCCCGGTCTGGCTGCTCTAGCCTCCTGCTCTTCCTGCGAGGGCCTCCAACCCATCCTGGACCAGCTTTGCTTTTGCCGGATCATCCTGAGCTCCTCCTGCCCTCAGGCCCATTCCACACTGCTCCCCTGCCTCACCGCCTCCTCCCGGCTCTCCCGGGCTCCTCCTGCAGAGGCCCCTTTCTGTCTCCATAGCTATCTCCATCCACCCGCTTAGAACCCATTCCCCAGCCTGGCACCCCTAACCTGGCTCTTGCCATCTCCCCAGCAAAACCAAATCTTATTAAAGTCAACACAGTTTGGGTGCGGTGGCTCATGTCTGTCATCCCAGCACCTTGGGAGGCCGAGGTGAGAGGATCACTTGAGGTTAGGAGTTCGAGACCAGCCTGGCCAACATGGTGAAATCCTGTGTCTACTAAAAATACAAAAAGAGTTAATCGGGTGTGGTGGTTCACACCTACAGTGTCAGCTACTTGGGACGCTGAGGCAGGAGAACTCCTTGAACTCCGGAGGCCGAGGTTGCAGTGAGGCGAGATTGTGCCATTATACCCTCTCTTAAAATAAATAAATTAATTAAATAAAAATAACTAAATAAAATGTAGTGTGATTAATGATAATAACCATCATTTCTTCCATTCTATTAACACTCTGGGTACTGTGCTGAGTTCTTTACATAACGTTTCACATTTTTATCTTCCCCATAACCCTATAAGCTGGGTATTATTAGGTCCATTTACAGATGAGGAATATTACAGGCCCATGGACATTAGGGTCACGCAGTCAGGAAGGGGCAGATCTCAGAGTCGCCTGGCTGCGGAGCTGGTGTTCCTGCCCCACTGTGGCTTGGCTGCCGCCTCAGAGCTGGGTTTGAGGCCTCCCTGTTCTAGGGTCATTATTACATTTTCTTCTACAAAGTATGTTTCTGGTTAATGGAACTGCTTATTTAACACAGATGCTCTTGTCCTTTGTCCATCTGTTTCTTTTGTTTTGTTTTGTTTTTGGAGCTAAAATTTTGGTCTTGTTGCCCAGGCTGGAGTGCAATGTCTCTATCTTGGCTCACCGCAACCTCTGCCTCCCAGGTTCAAGTGATTCTCCTGCCTCAGCCTCCTGAATAGCTGGGATTACAGGCAGGTGCCACCATGTCAGATAATTTTGTATTTTTAGTAGGGACGGGGTTTCACCATATTGGTCAGGCTGGTCCCAAACTCCCAACCTCAGGTAATCTGCCGCCTTGACCTCCCAAGGTGTGGGGATTACAGGTGTGAGCCACTGCACTCAGCTTGTCCATCTGTTTCTGATGGCAACAGAAACCTTCACCTTCCAAAAACCATCCCCAGGACAAGCTTCCATGCAGGTAGGGGCGCTGCTGCAGCCCCAGCACCCATGCAGCCTCCTCCCTATCTGCCTGCAGGTTGCAGCCAGAGGAGTTCAGAGCCTCTACAGAGAGCACAGCTTCTCCAACTGGAACAAACTCCCCTTAAAGGAATCTATTCAGAAAGATTATTTCAAGAATGCAATGTACATTCATTCCTTCAAAATATGCTTAGATGGACTTAAGAAACCAGAAAGCTCTGTGTGTGTGTGTGTGTGTGTGTGTGTGTGTTTTGCACGTTCTTGGTCCACACGGAACCCCTTGAGAGGTCCCTGTGGGCAGTGAGCCTGTTTGTAACCATCCTCCTCCCCTCCTTGATGTCAAAGACACCACAGTCCCTCTGAGGGGCTGACCTGCCCCCCACCCTCTGGAAACTGGGAGGTTGGAAGAGGGAGGTATGTGAACAAGCCAGCACACAGCTGGGGACTCAAGGCACATCTGAGCCTTTGTTTCTGCTGTGCAGAGTCTGTGCTTCCTTCGCCACTGGCGTCTCAAAACCTTCCCCCACTGAACTGGGAGGTGCTGCTCCAAACTCTGGACAGACATTAGGGCTAGGGAGGGGGTTGTGGAGAGGGGACTCCAGCCTGCCCATCCACCAGGTGAGGGGACACCTGCGTCTCTTTCAGCCTGGTCTAGACCTGCCTCCCAGGCTCTGGCTGCAATGCCTTTCTCTTTCCCTTGGCAATTCCCTGGAGTTCTGCGCAAGACAAAGACAGAGCAACCTGTTTTATGAGAGGTTCCTCTGCCGGGGGAAGGACCCGGAGAAAACCAGAAGGACGGCCAGAGCCAGAGAAAGATAAAGCACCCCAGGGCCTCCCACAGCAGTGCCTGAGCTGGAATGGGGAGGTGCCATGACTCACAAGGCCCTGCGACATCACTTTAAGAGGGCTGTCCAGCTGCAAGATACTGTAAGCGGAAAGGGAAACCACAGAACTTCGAAAAAGGGCGGGACTGGGACAAGCCTAGCAAAGCGGCCGAGCATGAATCCACAGATCAGGTAGGCTGCCCGCTCTGTCGGCAGGTCCTCCTCTGCCCCTTCCTGCCTGGTGGCCCTGCTGGGCCTCAGTCCTGGCCTCCTCTGTCCCTGCCCATCCCTAGCCCTGGGCTCCCTCCCCTCTGGTTCCTGTGTCACTCCCACTCTCAGCCAGGCTGCTGCTTCTGAATGGGCCGCCTCCCCCGCCTGCCCCAGCTCAGACTCCCCTGTTCAGACGGATCTATGGTGGCTCCCTTTGCAAAGTTCTTCACCCTGAAAGTCATTGCTGAGCTGGTGACCCTGGGAGGGTGCTCCATCTGCGTGCTTCCCCCCATTCCTCAGCTCTGGAACAGGGAGAATTGAACCAAGGGCCAATGGGAGCAATCTGGCATTTTCTTCACAGGGCTTTGGTGGATTTTCTGTAAGATTGACTTTGCTTAAATACAAAGTCTTAGGAGAGGGTATTGGGGAGGAAATGGTCTCTGAAGCACAAGATAAATCATGTCACCCAAGGATGACTCCAGGGTGAGCAGATGTCCTCACACGAAGGTTCCAGTCCAAGGTCACTCTTCATCTTGTAGAACATGACCAGTAACATGGAGTGTGAGAACATGACCATAATAATGTTAGCCAGGTGCAATGATCAGGAGAAATGCTCTTAAGATTGAATGAACAGAGAGCGGGTCCTCAATGGCTCCCTTCTGCAGGGCCTGTGCTGCAGAGGCTGGACAGGGCTGGCCTGGAAAGGGACCCCAGCTCCCTCCACCAAGCTCCATGTCCTGGGCATGGTACCCTGCCTCTCTGCACCTCTGGCACCTCCTCTGTAAGATGGGAATGGCCCCTGCAGGCCCAGGTTATCATCACATGAGCTCAGAACCTTGCAGCACTTAGAGGAGTGACCTGGGCCTTGGAATTCGGTTCTACCATAACTTTAAAATAATGTTGGCTGGCCACAGTGGCTCACGCCTGTAATCCCAGCACTCTGAGAGGCCGACCGGGGTGGATCACCAGCTCAGGAGATCGAGAAAATCCTGACTAACATGGCGAAACCCCGTATCTACTAAAATACAAAAATTAGCTAGGTGTGGTCGTGGGTGCCTGTGGTCCCAGCTACTCAGGAGGCTGAGGCAGGGAATCACTTGAACCCAGGAGGCGGAGATTGCAGTGAGCCCAGATCTCGCCACTGCACTCCAGTCAGGCAACAGAGCAAGACTCTGTCTCAAAATAAATAAATAAATAAATAAATAAATAAATAAATAAATAAATAATGTTAGCCAGGTGCAGTGGCTCACACCTGTAATCCCAGTACTTTGGGAGACTGAGGCAGGCAGATCACCTGAGGTCGGGAGTTCAAGGCCCACCTGAACAACATGGTGAAACCCCATCTCTACTAAAAATACAAAATTAGCTGGGTATGGTGGCACATGCCTACAATCCCAGCTACTCAGGAGACTGAGGCAGGAGAATCGCTTGAACCTGGGAGGTGGAGATTGCAGTGAGCCCAGATCTCACCACTGCACTCCAGCCTGGGCAACAACAGGGAAACTCTGTCTCAAAATAAAATAAAATAAATTACAAATATTGTTAACATGCAGAGGTGAAGCGTCAGGAAGGAATTGAGCTAAAAGGTTAAAAGCTTTTATTTTCGGGTGAGGCATTTTATTCTCCTTTGCATTTTCCTAATGGGTGGGGAGTGGGTGGGCAGAAATACTGGAGGGTGGGGAAGGTACTCCTGGAAAGACCAGCCCTGGGGCCTGAGTAGGGAGAGGTCACCCAGCCCTGCTGCCCCTGCCACCATCGTCTCTTCTTCCTGTCTCCTCAGTCTTCCTGCCTGGGAAGGTGGCAGAAACTCTCAGGGCTGTGGAGGGATGGGGGAGGCTCAAGGCTGTCCAGGAGCTGTGTTGAGTGGACATCAGCTCCGAGACTCCGGGGAGCGCTCTGTGCATGGGCCCTTTCTCTCTTGTGCCTTCAGAAATCCCATGGAGCGGATATATCGAAATGTATTCTACTACAACTTTGTAAATGAACCTGTCCTCCCTCATCGGCCCTACAGCTGGCTGTGCTACGAAGTGAAGATAAAGAAGGACCCCTCAAAACTCCCTTGGGACACAGGAGTCTTTCGAGGCCAGGTACCACCCAAACTTCAGTCGGATCACAGGCAGGATCTAAGCAGCTGGGAATGCAGAAAACATAAGACTAAGTAAAATATGTGGCGGCGGCGGGCTCTCAATTGTCTGTTTCTTCCCACATTCCCTTTTTTTTTTTTTTTTTTTTGAGATGGAGTCTTGCTCTGTCGCCCAGGCTGGAGATCTTGGCTCACTGCAACCTCTGCTTCCCGGGTTCAAGCAATTCTCCTGCCTCAGCCTCCTGAGTAGCTGGCATTACAGGAGCCCACCACCACCCCCAGCTAATGTTTCTATTTTCAGTAGAGACAGGGTTTCGTCATGGCGGCCAGGCTGGTCTGTAACTCCTGACCTCAGGTGATTCAGGAGTTGGGATCCCTTCCAAAGTGCTGGGATTACAGGCATGAGCCACTGCACCTGGCCACTTCCCACATTTCTTCTGCATTTTTTGAGACAGAGTTTCATTCTGTTGCCCAGACTGGAGTGCAGTGGCACCATCTCGGCTCACTGCAACCTCTGCCTCCCGGGATCAAGTGATTCTCTTGCCTCAGCCTCCCGAGTAGCTGGGATTACAGGCGCCCACCACCATGACTGACTGATTTTTTGTATTTTTAGTAGAGACCGGGTTTTGCCATGTTGGCCAGGCTGGTCTTGAACTCCTGACCTTGTGATTTGCCCACCTTGGCCTCCCAAAGTGCTGTGATTACAGGCGTCTGCCACGGAGCCTAGCCTCTACTTCCTACATTTCTTAAGTCCGTGGCCCAGACCTTTTGGCTTGACTGCCTGGCCACTGCCCTGATTCCTCCATTTCAAGGTATCATCACAGGATGGTGAAGCCTCACTCCTCACCCTGCTGCCCGCACTCGGGACACTAAAA